CTGCTGCCATGTATTTTTGATGTCTAAGAATACATTCATCACAAGTGAGAATTCTTATTAAGCCTATTAATGGCTGAATGGGGGTGTCAGTGACACTTGGGGGCAGTCCCAACCGTTCACACTTAGTATGTTCATAGTGGCTTTTTTTTTACCCAGCTTCTTCTGAATGTTAGTCATGGTTGATTCTCTCTTGCTATTTAAGTCTTCTGGTGATGCGATGCCTACCAGTCTGCAGCCAACCACTGCATCTTTTAAAACTCGCAACGTCATAAGAAAGAGGAGTGCACTTCTAATAGAGCATTCTGGAAATGTCACCTAATAACTGCCAACCACTGGTTTAACGGCCCAATATCTATATTTTTCTGTTTTTAAGTCCACTTATAACATTTGTATGGTTTATGTAGCCAAAGCAGTCATAATTCATTTTTATATGACCATTTTCTAACCCTGGTTTATCCCTTAGAATTAAACTGTTACTGTGTCTTTAAGAATAACGAGCTCTGTTCTGATTGGCTGCAAAAAACAGCAACCCAGGCTGGAACACTCCTTATTACTTCAGTGTGAGTGGGCATGGCTAAATTGCTATAGGCCAAATAGGCAGATATATGTAAATAACATCACAAAAACAATAAATCCAAAACTTAGTTTCAGTATATCGATCCTTATGGACTAAGGAAGTAAACCAATGATTTGGCCAAAAATCCAATTTTCGCAATTTTCCGCTTAACCCAAACATAGCTGATCAGCCAAGACGTGTTTAATGCCCAATGTATAACACTGATATGCTGTTATCAATAAAATGGATGAAAGTATTTAAGTTTGCTACTGTTTCTAGCCATGCTAATGTACTTTACCTAATGTTAATAGACAGCAGCGTGTCATACAGAGTGAGAAACCACATAAGCAAGTCAATTAGAGATTACTGAACAACAGAACACAGTTTGAGGCAAGTGATAATTTAGACATGCAGTTAGCACCATGACAATTGGTAGCATATATGCTTCCATTACTTGTTAGCTACATAGGCTTCATAGATCTGGTACAAAACCTAAGAAGTAAACTTCAGACACCAAACATTTCTTGACTGATCAACTGCTTTTGGGGTAAAGGGGGAAAGAAAGTGTAAATTAGATTTTTGGTCAATCTTTACCTTTATTCAGCACTTAATGTGATTTTTCACCAACAAAATCAATCAATCATGCTTTATCTTTTTTAAGACCCGCATTTACAATGTAGCTGAGCCAAAATGAAATAGGAAGCAGGTGGTGAGGGCAGCAGAGTGTGCCATTGGTAAGACAGTACCCCACCTGAGAGACATTTAAACTGTCCAGAAGCCAGCAGTATTTCAAAGTATTCCCCCAGGCAGTCAGATGTATAAGTCCCTCCTCCCCTCCCTCTCCTCCCTAAGACTAAGACTGAGACTAAGACTGAGATATTTTTCAGTAAATATCATTTCATTATTTTGCACTAATATCTCATTGTGTTTATCCTTACCTCTTTGGCCTTATTTATCTTTATTTTCTTCTTTATTTATGTCCTTGCTCATGTCATTGTTTTTAAACAATGCCAATAAAGATCTATCTATCTATCTATCTATCTATCTATCTATCTATCTATCTATCTAGGAAATGTCCAAGGCTTGGGACTAAGATGTGGACACAAATATGCTAACAAAACACGAAGGCTTGGACATGGAAGCATAAGAACTCAAGCTCAATGTAATAATGCAAATGTAATACTAAGCAATAAGCACAAATTATTATTATTATTATTATTATTATTATTATTATTATTATTATTATTGTTGTTGTTGTTGTTGTTGTTGTTATTATTGTGCCATCAAGTTGCCATCAACACCAGCTGTGTTTCAGCAACAGTTCAACCAACATAAACACTTTAAACACTATAAACACTATAAAAACAAACACTACAAACACTATCAGCACAATAAACACTATAAACACTACAAACACTATCAGCACAATAAACACTATAAAAACTATTAGCACAAGAAACACTATAAACACTGCAAACACTATAAACACTACAGACACTATAAACACTATAGACACTATAAACACTATAAACACTACAAACAGTATAAACACTACAAACACTATAAATACTAAACACTATAAACACTATGAACACTATAAACATTATCAGCCCAATAAACAGTATAAACACTACAAACAGTATAAACACTACAAACACTATAAATACTAAACACTATAAACACTATGAACACTATAAACATTATCAGCCCAATAAACACTATAAACACTACAAACAGTATAAACACTACAAACACTATAAATACTAAACACTATAAACACTATGAACACTATAAACATTATCAGCCCAATAAACAGTATAAACACTACAAACAGTATAAACACTACAAACACTATAAATACTAAACACTATAAACACTATGAACACTATAAACATTATCAGCCCAATAAACAGTATAAACACTACAAACACTATAAACACTACAGACACTATAAACACTACAAACAGTATAAACACTACAAACACTATAACTACTAAGCACTATGAACACTATAAACATTATCAGCACAATAAACAGTATAAACACTACAAACACTAAAAACACTATGAACACTGTGAACACTATTAACACTTTAAACGCTACCAACACTATGGACCCTAAACACTATAAACATTATAAAGACAAACATGACAAACACTGTAACACTACAACCATTTTCAGCACAATAAACACTATAAACACTACAACCACTTTCAGCACAATAAACACTATAAACACTATGAACACTGAACACTATAAACACTACAAACACTATAAAGACTATAAACACTGTGAACACTATGAACACTATAAACACTACTAACACTGCAAACACTATCAGCACAATAAACACTATGAACGCTATGAACACTTTAAACACTATAAACACTATAAACACTACTAAAATTCCAAACACTATAAACACTGTGAACACTTTAAACACTACAAACACTATAAAGACTATAAACACTGTGAACACTTTAAACACTATAAACACTACTAACAGTACAAACACTATTAGCACAATAAACACTATGAACACTATGAACATTAAACACTATAAACACTACAAACACTATAAAGACTATAAACACTGTGAACACTTTAAACACTATAAACATTACTAACACTACAAACACTATCAGCACAATAAACACTATGAACACTATGAACACTTTAAACACTATAAACACTACAAACACTATAAACACTATATAAACATATATGTGTGTGTGTGTGTGTGTGTGTGTGTGTGTGTGGTGTGTTTGTGTGTGTGTTTTTTAATATTTGTATTACAAATTATTATTACAAATATTCATGTAATATTTCAAGGTCTGCTACAAGTGCCTATATTTTGCTGTTAATGGCGTATTTTGAATAATCAATGGCCATTGTGGATTATAGCAAGATGTTAATTAAGGTTTTGAGGTTTTTTATACAGCCGTTGAGCATGACACCCCTGTTCTAGAATATCCTGTCTTGTGACGGGTCCCCTGTTGACAATAAAACAGCACAGAGCAGCATGAACTGGTTTATGCCAGTCTGGTTCTGGTTTAGCTGGTCACCCAGCACAGTCATGCTGGTTGACCAGCATACCAGCATCCAAAACACAAGATATGCTTTTTTTCTTGGTGATCAGTCTAATAACGTCCTTTGCTTCTGACCAGCATGCCAGCATCCAAAACACAAGATATGCTGGTTTTGCTGATGACCTGCCATGCCATTCTATGCTAGTTTTTCTTGCAGGGTCTTTAGGCGTCTGAATCATGATTCTTTGGATTATATTTGATTGATTCTGTCTTGCAGCTGGTCATCTTCTTCCTCTTTTACCTTCAACTGGTCCAAACATAATGGTCTTTTAAGATAACTACAGAGAATCTTAAGAAGTACTTGAGTAGTGACAAACAAACCGTAATGGGACATGAACAGAAAGTCTCTGTCGCCCTCTGCTGGTGACTAAGGGTAATTGAAACGCTTTTATCTCCATCTTGCTGTACAATTACATCTGTTTACCCTTTTAAAGATTACTCCTCTTCTGATCATCTGATCTTGAAGGTGAAAGTTCATTTTTAAAGACGTTTAAAGTGAGTATACATGTGGGTGGGCTGTTTGAAACTTTTTTGTTCCTGAAACTTTTTACCAGTTGTTTAATTCTTCACCTGAATTATTCCTTTAAAGGGCCCACATTGAAAACCATTTTTTTAAACAAAGGAGTTTAAAATAGTATGTAATCATTGTCACAGTTTCAGAACAAACCATTCACAGCCCACTCAATACAGTCCATATATGGAAACTATGCTGCAAAAACAGCCTGTTTTGAATTCATTGTTTCTGTGATGTCACAACAACCAACTCATTTACATATATCCACTTATACACCCACAGCAGTTTAGCCCCACCCACTAAGAGAGAAGTTTTTCAGCTGTTAGTACTTTTGAATGAGACACAGGGCAGCCAATCACAACAGAGCTCATTTACATATATCAGTCTTCAGGGCACAGTTACAAAAACAGCCTGTTTCATTGTAAGGGATACAGAGAGGTTGGAAAAGGTCATATAAAATGATGTTTTTAGTACATAAGCGTTTAGTACAGCACTTATTCAGGACCTCTTTTGAGTCTGTCAACAAGCTCTAGCAAGCATATATTCTGATAAATTAAAATAGTTAAGAAACGAACATTGATGATGTTTCTTTAAAAGATGGTGCATATATTTCAATATAGTGTGTAAGTGTTCTAAATGTAATCTCCTAAAAACGTAAATAGTAACTATATTCTGAATTCTGCCTTTTTAAAATCTAACTTTAGATATTAATTTGTGTGTTCTGTATACGTATTCACAATACTTGTACCTTTATGTAGATCTCAGAGATACAAGAAAAATGTAGGATATTGACCCTTTAAAGGTTTAAAGTGGACTTTTATTTTGAAATGCACCGCAAAATAAGACAAAACCGGTCCCAGCATTGGCTGTTTTCACATTTTTACATTCTGGCTTTTTGTGTGTGTTATCTCCCGCCTTTAGTGTAATCTAAATTCTCATAAATCTAACTGAGCTGCTGATTAGTGCAGTTTAATGTACATTTTTTGTAATTAATCATTTATTTGTAGTTTGAGTGGTTCAGTTCAGTTTAATGTAACTTGGTTAGCAAGCTAACGTTAGCTAGCTAGGTTAGTTAACGTTAGTGCAGTTTAATGTAGTTCAGTATAATTCTGTTTATTTTTTGTTCAGTTTAATGCTAGTTTAGAGCAGTTTTGTGGTTTAGTTTAGTTTTAGCTCTGCTTCACGCAGAGCTGCCGTGTACAATGACAGCAAATCTCATCGTCGTAGTTATTTAATCCTAGATTTTAAGTTAAATATGGAGGATGTCGATGAAGAACCAAGCAGCCCTGAGGGAGAAAATCCTATAAATGACAAAATATGGTGTTTAAAACGAGTTGGGAAAGACACCGGCTGGTTACGGCTGAACGAAAACTCTGAGGTAATTAGTTGAAGCTTTGCTAAGGAGGCTGAAGCTTCTTATTCGAATTTCACGTCCCACCTTAAATGGTGACACCGTTACATTCTGGCGCCTCAGTTTCTGCTGGCGCCTCAGCTGCATTATTTAAGGTGGAACGGGAAATTGGTGCTATGCTGAATGGCTAAGCTAATTACAGCTAATGTTTACATCCAGTTCTGACCATTTGGAGAAAATTGGGTACGTATTGACATATTTAGCGTAATAACATGTCTGATTAAATGTAAACTGATGTGTTTTGGCTCTGAATTGGTAGTTATAACGGGCTACTTTAGTCAACAGGGCGAAGCTTATGTTAACAGAGCGAAACTCTACGAAGCTCACAGCTAAGCTAACTTACATGAAGAGACTTAAAGGGGAATTCCCTCGATTTTTTAAAATATCTGCATAAGTAAACGGTTAAGATGTAAACAAAGTCATTCAGAGTGGTTTGGTATGAAACGCTCCGTTCCAGAGAAACAAAGTCAAAATTGTTCACAGTGGTGGTGATAGGAACCAGACGTCTACCTCTAAAAGCTATTAGCATGAAATGGTTATGACTTCACTGCCTGGTGTCTAAAACATTGTTTCATGGTAGTTCTGTTATGAAGTCCTGGTTTAACACGTATTATGATCAGTTTATTTTAATCTATTCATGGTGGTTGGATATATGAAGGGTGTTATAAAAGGCAAAATAGTTTTGTTTTTTTGTTTTTTTCAAATGTATCACTGTTTTCATATAATCAATATTCCATATAAAGCTCAGAAGACATGTGTAGGTTCACTGGTGGTTTTGGATAGTAAATAAAAACCTATATTTGTATATTTGTGTTGTAGTCATGGTGACCCCGGTTTCTATCACCACCACTGTAAAGAAATCTGTGTCTCGACAATCAACCATTTCACACCAAACCACTCCGAATGACTCTGTTTACATCTCAACTCCTGAATTGTGCAGAAATTTGGAAAACTTGGTGGATATAATTGGTGAATTCCCTCTTTAAGATAAACACCACATCTTTACATATTTTAACATTATTCCTTTTTTGTTACAGATGAAGATATTTGTGTCTGTATTGGAGTCGTTTTGGGTCATTCTAGCTAAATTTGTGCCTTTTTTAAAAAAGATAGTATGTTCCTGGCCATGTAGGCACAATAAGATCTAATGGCTTTGAAAACAAGTGGAATAATGGTCGGCAAAGCACTGTTAATATCGGCCCTATTACTGACCTGTAGGCCTGATTATCTCAAAACATTTAAAAAATTTGGGGATGTAAGGTGTCCACTTTTCAAAAAAAAAAGACCCTTTTCTTTCTTAACCAGGTTACCATAGGCCGTGGCCTGAATGTCACCCATCAGATCCTGTCAGTAAGTTGTCCACTGATGATCTCCAGAAACCACTGTATGCTAAAGCAGAGGGAGGATGGACAGTGGACAGTCACTGATAATGAGGTACAGTACTTTACATAGGTCAGTTTGTTTTATTGACTTACAATATGCTTATACCTTACAGCTCTCTTGGACTTCTAATTGTAATGAGCTTCATAACTACTGACCTTAACTGAATTCCTAACATGTTTCTGGAATATGTGGTATTGTCTAATAATAATAATAATAGCATGTTTCATACATGAAGATGCAGCCTACCGTACAAAACAGTAATGTAAAAACAATTTATGGTAAGAAATAGCTTAAAATTAAAAGAGCACTAGAAGAAACATTGTTTATTAAAAGTGAAAAGGTAGAAGAAATGTGAACCATTAAATGGAAATTCCACAGATGTTTTAGAATTTCTGCATAATTAAGTGGTGCTCTGTTCTAGAGGTTCATACTGAGTCAGAATATTTTCACAGTGGTGATGAAAGGAACCAGACGTCCACCTCTAAAAGGTCCCTCACAGAAAGTTACTACATGAAATAATTATAAATATGCTGATTGATGCTGGAGACGTTGGTATACGACATGTTTTAGGTCAAAACTTTATCTCAAAAGGCAAAACTGTTCTCAAAGAAAAAAATCAGATTTAATACTAATTTACCATCATTAACATTACAAATAAAAGACACGTGTACGTTCACTGGTGGTTTTGGATATTAAATAAAATGGCTGTACTTGTGTTGTAGTCGTGAAGACCCCTGGTTCCTTTTACCACCACTGTAAAGAAAGTCTCTGCAATCAACCATTTCACACCAAAGCACTCTGAATCACTCTGTGTTTAACCACTGAATTATACAGAAATTTTGAAAAATCAATGCAATGCAATGCAGTTCTCCTTTAAAGCAGAAAAATGGGGAAAATTCAAACATTGTCAGGCATTCTGAAACGTATTAAGTTGTTAACCCGTTAAAAGGCTCAAAAATGAGTACAGAAGTCTGTTCTGAAAGAAAGCAAACATGTTCTCAAATGACAGTAGTTCCCCCATTCATGTTTGTGTATTTCATACTTTTAACAGTGGCACCAAATTGTACTAAATTAGTTGATTTCAGTTGACCTCAAGCTATTGTCCTTACTTTTTTTTCCTCCACTGTTTCAGAGCATAAATGGAGTGTGGGTGAACGGAACACGTATTTCCACTCGGAAACCTCACGTCCTACAGCAGGGCGATGCTGTGAGGTTAGGTGTCCCTTTGGACGGCAATCCGGTCGAGTTTGAGTACATCCTGGTTCACCGCAGACTCAGCAAAATCAAAGATTTCTTGACTAAGGCTGTTGGCACGGAGGCCGTAGCAAACATCTCTGTCCCTAAACCCAAAAAGTCGAAGCGTAAGTTTGGCACGGATGAAGTGGAAGCAGGAACCACGCTGGATTCCAAGAGCAAGCTTTATCGCAGTTCCAATACAGACAAGTCCAGTGCCCAGCCGTGTCCGACGGCAGCAGCACATCAGAGGGTCTTACCTGCCTGCAGGGGGCCTGATGTCCCACCTGGAAGCTCCACCCACTGCAGTGATAGCAGCCAGCAGCTGGCCACCCTGCAGCGCTACAATAACAACCTGCGAGCGCTGAAGGAACGAATGGGGGCCACTCAGAAACGGGCGGCCAAGCTAGCAGGGCAGGAACGTGCCAGCCCGGAGCAGCAGAGGAAGATGCAGGAGCTGCAGGAACAGATGGAGGTTTTACGAGGCCAGCTGAACTCCCAGCAGGAAATGGCCCTACACCGTGTGGAGATGCTGGAGAAATCCATCTGTGAGGAGGAAAGGAGACTTGAGGTGAGAGACTTTTACTGCTGTACAGTAAAGTAGTAGTTTAGTAGTAGTTTTTTATATTATTTTTGCACAATTTAAAATACACACACATAAACAAAGATAACAAAATATACAGTGCAGGGAGAGGCTTATATAAAACCACCACCTAAATGATATTAAAATTTCAGAACAACATACAAAACAATAATGACAAACATCAAATAACCTAAATATCGGCATAACACAGAACAAAAACGTAAATGTATAAGCATATGGGTGTGTTGTGTGTATGTACAAGGGCATCCATAAATGTATATGCATATGTTTTTGAAACAATGCAGGTTTATACGCCCATATTAACTTCTGAGTAAAAATAATAATATATATCACAATAAGTGAAAATATAAAGGAAAAAAACAGCTACAATACAGATATTAAATGATTTTTTTGATACATTTTAAAGACGAACAGGTATATTGTTTGGTAATCTATTTTGGGATATTGGCCTTTATGACATTGATCTTATATGGCAACATGCAAATAAGCCTTTTTGCTGTGAGCGTCCTGACCATTCGCAGCGTTTTGATGAATAATAGTCTTCATGCAGTCCAATAAAATCAGTTGTTTTGGTCAGTTAACTGCAGACCAGACTTTAATCATGTCACGTTGATTCAGCAGATGTTTTCGATAAATTTTAAGGTTTATTAATTATGTATTTTATCACAATTGAAATACATAGCAGAATAATCGCAATACTAGTATTTTGTCTAAATAGTGCAAACCTAATAACGGCACACAGTCAACATTTTAAATGATAGGTGAAAAATCACATTTGCATGTTCGGTGTCTGACGTTTTCTTCTTTAGCTTTGCACTGGAGCTATGTGGCTAAGATGGGGTGTAAGCTTCCATTTCTCAATTGCTACGTTTTAGGGATGTAACAATACAACAAATTATATTGTCCTGTAGCATATCACTGTTGTTGGAGAAAACCTCATATCTCCATTTTTGTTGTTTTTCTGTTTTTGACATAATTTGAAAGTACTTGTTGCTCTTTACATTGTGTATAAATTTCATGATGAATTTACCAAAAGAAATGACCCAAAATGACCTGGAAAAACCTCTGGTTCCATTGACTTACATTAAAGATAGTTTCTTTTTTTTTCCTTTTCCTGTAAATTTATCATTTTAGAGATATAAGGTTTTGTTCCAGCAGCAATATCATATTTAAGCAATAAAATTGTGCAATTGTGGCTGGAATTCCATTCATGGTACGCGTTGTAGGCGAGTACCACAGACTATCACAGATGTGATGTTGCTCATAAAAACACACAACCTTGAATGCTCTGTTGCTTTTTACAGCAGTTCTGCCAAATAAAGAAAAAGGTAAAACAAAGAAGCCCTGAACTCTGTGGGTGGGCGATAATTCAAAAATATCATATCGCGATACTTAAAGACATAACACTCAATACGTAACACATGTCTCTTCTAAAAACAGTCATCAAAAACTCTGGATACAGTGACTAAAACATTCAATAAAACTTACTGCACTGTAGTTAAACAAGACTCACTATGCCTTTTTAATGAAGCATGCAGTTGTTAAGTACTGACGACAACCAGGATATGAATTACAAAATATCATATTGCCCACCTCTCCCTTGAACATTGAATTAAATATGTTTTAATATCGCCAACTCCTTCCACCACAAAAAGTACCTTTTTGTGTTATGGATAGAAAGTGTCACAGCATCAGCTTCACTTCAGCTTTTTCAGTATATGCTGGACTAACCTGAATGTTTTGTTCCAGTCAGGCTGTAAAGCATTTCACAGCTCATCTCATGCTAAATTGTATTCTGTTTATTTTTGGTTTTTTACAGTTTAGCTGTTCACAGCTGCTAACCGAAAAGCTTGTTTAGGATCAACAACAGGATCAAAATTAGATTGTGCTAAAGTACAAACTTAGTAATGCTAAGCGACTTGTTAATTAGCAACCGGTGCTCAGCAGAACGAAAGTTATTGTGAGAAAAAAATTAGAATTCTTCTCAACCAATCGGATTAGCCCATCGAAGTGTTTTATAATGTATTCTCGTAGTTGTGTTATGACTAGCCTGTTAGCTTGTGGCTAGCGTGTTAGCTTAGGGATAATATATTAGGTTGTGGTTGGAGTGTTACATTGAGACACTATGAAGTGCTTTTGTTCCAAATATTGAACTTTGTAATCTTAAAGGGGAACTCCACTGAATTAAAAAAAAAAAAGGTTGAGATCACAAAGTCATTCAAATGCTCAGTTCCAGAGAAACTTATTGAATCTAAGTTGTTCACAGTGGTGATGATAGGAACCAGACACCTGAAGAGTTTAATGCCTTTGAAAGCTCCCTCAAAGAATGTATATGGTTAGATATGCGCTGCCTGATGCCTGACACATTCTTGTATGATAGTTTGGGGATGAGGTTTTGGCTTGAAACGTATTTTAATTCATTTATTAAAGCCATTCATGGTGGAGAGATACATGTAGAGCATTGTAAAGCAAAATAGTCCCCAAGAAAACTTATTTTTTCTGTTTTATGACTATTTTACCATCATTACATATAATTGATTTTGTGATTTCTGACCCTGTATGACTCACTGTTATCAGTAGAAATGGACAAAAATATGTGTCGTAGATAAAGTCAGTGGTAGTAATATTTGGGGTAAGGGGAATATTGTGTATGTTTTATTAATTCTTTTATTTATTAAAAGTGTCGCTTTCAGTCAGATTATTACTTAAGTGTTATGTTGTTGTTTTTTTGTCAGCCGTTATGGGCTTAGATGAGCAACTCTTCTCGGGTTACAATAAGTGGAAAATTTACCTTCACAGTTTTACCTCCACAAAACTGTTGGCCTGAACTGACAAGTAGTTATTTTTTTACTTTTTTGGAATGTGTTTGCATAGTTAATAGCAATTTATTACAACAATTATTGCTTGTCAAAGATCCAGCAAGCCCAACAGAATGAAGATGGTCTGAAGAAACAGCTGGAGGAGGCGTTAAAAGAGGTAGGAGATGCAAAAGGCTGTATTTTTCAAATTCCAGCAGTCAGGCCAGCATTTTATTGTACTTATTTTCTTTTTTTTCATTTCTATTGCAGCAACGAAAAGTGATCGAAGAGCTCAAACATGCAAGGGAAGGATTTAAGGAGGTCCTACAGGCCAAAGACAAGGAGTTGGAGGTTACCAAGGTAAACCCTCTGAAATATGGACACTGATTAGATTTACACAGACCACCTTCAGTATTTAGTCCAGACCTAAAGAAACTATTACTACTTACTTTTAAAGTGCTTTAAAGGAGAAGAAAAAAAAGAACAAATGGCTAACGAGAGATGCGATGTTGTCATCAGCATTTAGGGCTAATTCATTCACTTATCATTTGGACATCTTATCATTTTTCCTACAGCTAAAACTGTTTTAAATTGCACATCCATCATCTTGATGATGCCTTAAAAGAGTGTTTCTGACGGTTATGAATTACAAAGAATATTGATAGCAGACTAGTCACTCGTTCAGAGATGTGGGAAGCTGTGTTAAGTTGGGGGTGCTGAAATTTTAAGCAGCATACTCATAACATGAACAGTGATGTCATGCAAAAATGATTTGCTAACCTTTTTTCATAATTTACAGAGCGTGTAATGAGAGACAAAAATATAGCCACATAACACATTAAACTGCTGATGCACACTCTGTTTTTTCTGCTGTCTCTCCTTTTGGACAAACGTTATGCAGATGAGTTGAGCTACATGCAGTCAGTTTGTTGTGTGGCATGGTAACAAGTTGTGTCGTGCCCACAGTCACACATTCAAACACATTCCAAGCGTGAGATACAACAGTTGATTTAAAAAAAAAAACAAAGTTAAAAAAACAATATGAGGCAGGTTTTGGGCTAAGAAATGGCCACAACTCTGCACACACTTTCCCTTTTTGCACCTCAACCTGCATCTGTTTTAGCGTGCCCCCCCCTAAAAGCGGCTGGCAGTGGGCGTGGGAAGTGATTTGACTCTCCACGTTAATGTAAACCTCTGCACGGCTTCTGCAGGTTTTTAAAACGTTTAAATAAAACATAAAAAAAACTGCATACTAAAACAAGCAGATATAGGTCTTAACTTTGTTCAAATCAGTTTTACATTCAGATCTTTTTTATTATTTTTAAAATGCAGTTCACAAACCTTTAAATCTTTAAATCACTTCTGATTCCTGCAGGAGGAGAAGGAGAAGGCGAGAGCACAGAAGGAGGAGGTTGTCACACAGATGACAGAAGTGCTAGAAAATGAACTGCAGTGCATTATCTGCTCTGAGCTTTTCATCGAGGTATGGCCACCTTGTGGCACAAAATATTAATATCTCAATTTCTGGTGACCATATGGGTAATGTTTTTTGGGAATATCCTGTCTTCTGTTTGAATCTTTAGGCTTCTAAAAGGCTTGTTCATGATTCCTCTGATAGTCTCCATCCATCCTCTATTTGGTTATCCTCTCCCTCTTTTACCTTCAGCCCTTCCAAGCGTAATGAGTCTTTTCCAATGAATCGATTCTTCTCAAAATATGTCCAAAATAAGAGCTTAAGTTTGGTTATTTGTGTTTCGAGTCAAAGGTGAAGCTTGATTTGGATGAGGAGCTATTCGTTTGTTTTCTTTGCCACCCAAGGTTCTCTTTAAAGTTTTCACCAAGCTCCCGAGTGGCGCAACCGTCTAAGTGTTGGCCCTCATCAGGATATCGCGAGTTCCATCCCTGGTGATGCTACAGCCATCCGTAGCCGGGAGTCCAAGAGAGCACAATTGGCCTCGCTCTTTCTGGGTGGGTGGGATGGCCCCTCCTTCTCCCCCCATCACTCACTCAGCACGATGCTAGTCAGCGCAGGCGTCTGTTAGCTGACGTAACAGATCTGGCGGTTGGCGCTTTCCTCCGAGCGCGTTCGGCTGTTCAGTGATGTTGCGTGAGCGGCAGTTCAAAAAGAAGCGGTGGCTGGTTTCACAAGCCTGTGTTAGCCTTCGCCCTCCTAGCGTTGATAGTATCGTGTGATTGGGGGAGTCCTAACTAGCGGGTGGAATTGGCGACGACTAAATTGGGGAGAAAATTGGGTTAAAATCCAAAAAAAAAACATAGTTTTCACCAACATCAAAGTTCAAAGGGATCTGTATTTTTCCTGACTCGATTGTTTATTGTCCAGCTTTGACATTCATAAAGAACCCCAGAGAAAACTACAGCCTGGATAATGCTGGATTTTGTTTGTAGAGACAAATGTCTTGATCTTTTTTAAGCTCCTTCATCCCTGTTCTGTCAAGTGCCGGTCCGTGTTACATTTCTCGAGTGCTGGATCCTCTGTTGTTAATAATCGATTAGAGTAGACAAAAGCTGTCCACTCTTTACACGTCTTCTCCATTCATTTCTAAAATCAACGTCTAGCGAAATGGCAGCTTGGTTACACATTTATGGAACTACAAAACTCTTTAAACCTGTATTTTTCCTGTTCCAGCACAGCTGACATGAGGGAAAACACTAACTGTAGTTTAGGTTTAGTCCAAGACCTTTGTTTAAAATAAAATAAGACACATCCAGTATATTTTAATAAACTCTTATTCTGAACATACTTTGTGATCTCATGAGCGTTCAAAAATTGTATGGCCATTGGCTACTGAAGAAAAAATAGCACTCTCAAGTATTTAATTTATATTTACCTAAGAATTCAATAAATAGAAAAATTCAATAAAATAAATAGTAATCAAGGCTATAATCAAGTATTTCACAATCTTGCACTGTCAAATAGACATTCTGGTGGACCTTTCATATTGAGCTTTGGTTTAATTTTATTTGTACTTGGAGCTGAATTTTGTAGGTAGGTTAAATTGAAGTCATTTGCCTCTCAGTGATGAAAAGGATCACCAGACCTATCGGCTTGAACTTGAAACTGAGAGAAAAATGCTTAGTTCTTTGTTAATTTCTGTTTAAAGACTGTTTTTATCGTCAGCACCATGTTGTCTCTTCACTACTCAGACCTGAAATAGAAATACAGCTAAAAAATCTATGAAAATTATTCTCATTCTGGCCTGATATCTAGCCCTGTAGTCTCTGTTATGATAAGCTGCCTTCGGCTAAAGTCGTTACTTAAAAGCAAATGATTGTATAACCTGCAACACAGGGCTACTATAGAAGTTATTATTATGAATATTATTTTAATCGGCTTTGCTGCTGAATTTTTTTCAAGCTCTCCGTTCCGTCTGCTGAAATCCTTTGCTGGCCATTTAGATTATTTTGTTCGATTATTAATATAATCAATCATGACAGCCCCAGAAAGCATGTACTGTTTTTAATAAGGTGAATAGTAAACTGCACTTTTTTGTCCTGACCTTTTCTCTCAGGCTGTGACGTTAAACTGTGCGCACAGTTTCTGTCAGCACTGTATCGGAGACTGGCGGAGACGAAAGGATGAGTGTCCGATCTGCAGGCAGGCCATCCTCTCCCAGACACGCTCTCTGGTGCTGGACAATTGCATCGACCGCATGGTGGAGAACCTCAGCGCAGAGATGAAGGAGAGGAGGCTGGCTCTGATCAGGGAGAGGAAAGGTGAGAGGTGCGTTCTCATCATGTCTTCTGTAGCAGGTGCTGTCGGTTAAAATTAGGCAGAGTTGAAGAGTTGACTCTACAAATCCCGCAGAGTTTAGATCTACTTTTAAAGTGGCCATAGCATGGAAAACCGTTTCTTTTGGTGGTGAATTTTCAAATCTGTTATTAGCGGTCAGTCTGTCAGTCTTAAGGTGGCAATTCATCTGTTTCAGTTTTATTTGCGTTCGGTATTGAACAAATTATGTTTTCTAGATGTTTTCACAGGACGTTTACACTACTGTTCAAAAGTTTGGAATCACTTGTCATAGTAGTAAGTACTATTATTGTAATCATTAATAATTCATACAATGTCGATTGAAATACTATAAACTAGAGATCAGAACATTTTAAGCTTTATATAGATGTTTTATTCAATATTTCAAGTTTTTAAGGAACAAGATGTTATTAAATGATGCATAATATGCAGTAATGATCAGTTTACTGCAATGTAACTGTAAAGTTATCTGTAAGATTTAATCAGCACTTTTTTTTTTTTTAAATACATAGCATTCTGGATATTTATTTACTATAATTTTATTCATTCATTAATGTTTTACAGCTTTCTCAATCATTTTAGAATCACCTCCAGCTCTGTTAATCATTCTGGACTCATCTAACATTTCTTCTTCTTTTTTTTTCTTATTTATTGATTTATAACAATAAATCAACTACTACTAATTATTAGAAACCTGTAGAGTCGTGTGGTAGTAGCATCATTAGAATAATTCAGTACATGTACCTGTACTGGAATGGTTTTACATTATTGAAAAACAAACTCTTGAATGGTAGAGTAAGTTGATGATTAATTGTGGTGAAATTTGAGATTTCATATAAAAACTGAATCGTTTGCTAAAGAATTGTTATCAAAGCGTATCATTGTGATGTCCGAGATTTACAATCTTTTATAGACATTTTAAATCTCTAGGGGAAAAGAATGGATAAATGTCTGTCCCTTTAAAGGGTCCATACCCCACTTTCTTTGCGTGTTTTGTATTTTTTTTTTTTGAGGTCCACTTATTTGATCTGTGGTTTTTATGCACAACAAAAACAGTCATAATTCCTTTTAACATAACCATTTTCTATCCTCTCTTTATTCTTTGGAATGTAACAGGTTGATTTTTTTACTGTGTCTTTAAGACAGTAATAATGTAAATGAGCTGTTTTCTGATTGGCTATGTCTAAGTGTAAATAGCCGGAGCTAAACTGCTGTAGGCTGAATAGGAGGATATATGTAAATGAGTTGGTTGTAGTGGCATCACAAAAACAAACTGTTTTACAGCACAGTTTTTTTTATATTTGGGCCATATGGACTGGGAAGTGAAAGGTATGTGTTGAAATGAAAACGATGTTCATACAATGTTATACTATTATATATATATTTTTTTTTTAAGTGAAAAAAATTGATTTTCCTTGGTATGGGCCGTTTAATGGAGCTTGTCTGTCTGTCTGTCTGTCTGTCTGTGTACACAGGTCAGAGCAAAGCCCCGTCTGTGGCAGTGGTAGTGATCCAGGACAGCAGCAGCAGTGACGGTGACTTATCGGTCTACTCGTCCACAGAGGGCTACCTGGTCAACCCCAGGTTTCCGTACTGCATCGACTCCAGTGACTCATCTTCATGGAGTGATTAAAACCAATTACAGTGTTGTAGCGATACACTCTCACACTTAGAATTTGAAATGTTTTTTGTTTTTGTTTGTTTTTTACTTGGTTGTAGATCAGTGTACCATATTGTTTTCTTCTCTTGTATAAATAAAGCAGGTTTATTTGTTTTTGCATTCAGCTATTACTATTGTTGATAACTAGCAAAAGAATCTGATACTGTCATCTGCACACTTAAAAAGAAGGTTCAGTTTAGAACCAAGTTCTATATAGAACTGTTTCATACTTAAATAGTTCTTTGCACTGAGGAAGGACTGATGGACAATGTGTTGTATGTGGTTCTGCATAGAATCCTTTTGAAAATGGTTCCACATAGCACCAAAAAGGCTTCTGCTGTTGTTACGATGTCAAGCTTGTTACAGTAGAACACTTTTGCTGCTATATAAAACCATGTAAAGCACATTGAATCACTCTGAAGAACTGACTCACCATGCAATCATTTAAGCCTGAAATGGTTCTATCTAGAACTCATGGCTCTAAATAGAACCCTTAAAGAACCATCTTTTTTTCAAGTGTGTTCACTGTATGTCTGCAAGTTTGTAGAGACCTGCTCTTCCAGCTTTCCTTCTGCAATGAATGGTATAAATAAGGAGTTTGTCCCTCTTTGCTGCAGCCTTTACTTTTCTGGGAAGGCTTTACACTGCTGTGAAGGTTTGATTGAGCATTAGTGAGGTCAAGTACTGATGTTGGACGATCAGTTCTGGACCTCTCCAGCTTGTCCCAGAGGTATTGGATAGAGCTCCATTACTCCAGAGTATGCTGTTCCACTGCTCCACAGACCAATGTGGGGGCCTTTATACCCCTCTAGAATACAATATATTGTCACTGTCCTATCGGAGCTCCTTTTTTTCTTTTTACATTACATGAAAATTAAGAACGTTTTCCCTCTGTAAGGTTACCATGTTGTAGTTGTGAGGTTTTGTTATGACTGTGACGATATGTAGTTTAATGATATACCATATACAGCAGTATTGCATGTAATTGCTCCATGTATAATGTTCAAATGAATACTACATGTCTTAGACTGACCACAAGGGGGCAGTGGTGATTTTATGAGTTTAATCCCAATAATGTATCTTAAAGGCCCCACGTTTAAGATACAACTACAGAAGTAATTTGCACGTTTTAGTTTGTGGGATGTACTTTAATCAAACAAGTGTTTGACCTTTTGTATAGAACAATGTGAGGAAACGTTTTGTGTGGAAATCTAAAGGCCTCATTTGGTAACCTCCATGGAGATAGATAGCACACTCACTGGCCACTTTACTGGAAAGTCTTTGTTCTTCCACATAGTGGTTACCTTATTAGAATCACCTGCCTTGTATGTCCTCTCACTGGCCACTTTATTAGAAACACCTACTTTGTGCTTCACACATTGGTCACTTTATTAGAAACACGTGCTTCTACTCACTGGCCACTTTATTAGAAACATCTACTTTGTGCTTCACACAGTGGTCACTTTATTAGAAACACCCACCTTGTGTTTCACACAGTGGGCACTTTATTAGAAACACCTTCCTTGTACATCCACTTTATGAGCTCCATCTACTGTTAGCTCCATTGTGCAAGTGTATAATTGCAGACAAGCCCATCTGTTGCAGCTGATCAGCTCCCATCTACCCCATTCATGATTGGTCAGTTTCTGACCACAGTGCTGCTGTTGTCCAGATGTTATTTGGGTGGTGGTCCATTCATGGCACAGCAGTGATGCTGACATCACTGACATGATAGTGGCAGCTGTGTGATCAGAAACTGGCCATTGATGCTACAGTCTCTAACTGTACACCTGCAAGGTGGAGCTACAAAGGGGGCAGGGGGTTTCTGATAAAGTGTCCAGTATATTACAGCACTGTTTTTAAAACCATGTCCTCTGCCTTTGTTGAGGTAGATCTTAACAGACTAAGTTGGTATCCTAGAATCTGGCATTTTTGTGTGTTACACAAATGCGCCAAATGATCGATGAGGCTTCAGATTTGGGCTGATTGCAGCTGTGGGTTGTTCAAGTTGTGATTCAGTCCACTGGGGCTTTGCGCAGAGAACGCATTTCACCGCCAGCATCCAGAGCCATCCGTGCTGGGGTGGGACCTCTGACATGCCAGTCCATTAGTGGCGCGGTGCACAGGGAAGCGTGTGTGTGTCAGCTGCTGTTTCAACAGGGAGACGGTGACGGACGGCCCTGGGGCCACCGCTGCCACAGCTAGGACACTCAGCCCTGATGTGTCATGAAAAGAACCATGTCAGCGACGTTTTCCCCCACAGCTACCTCTAACTCCTTCACACTCCTGCTGCCTTATCACATCCAGTCTGTAATTAGGGCCCCGTCCACACAGATACATCTGACTCAGGCCCAGTCTGACGAAGGGCCGCTAATTATGTAATCGAACGATGAGAAAAGCAAGGCTTTGGTAATATCTAGGACTGTTATATCATGTCCTTTGCCATGTCTGCAGTCCTGCTAGGGCAAGGACTTGAAGGGGAATTCCACAGATTTTTCAAAATTCATGCCTAGGTAAATTACGTGTGCACAAAGTCATTCAGAGTGGTAGAGAAAGTTATAAAGTCCAACTCTAAAAGCTCCCTCACAGAAAGTTCTTGCATTAAATGGTCATGAAAACACTGCCTGATGTCTGTTGACTTAAACTATTTTTAAATAAAATACATTCATAGCAGGGAGGATGTAGAAAGAGCATTTTGATATTCAGATTCACCACTATTTTATTATCAACATTACATTCAAAAAGGCAGACGACTCATGTAGGTTCACTGGTGGTTTTGGATAGTAAATAAAATGGCTATGTGTAATATTACAAGTTTCTCACATTTAAATATGATTGCATATGATGCTCATTAGTACTGTGTACTTATGCATGGGAAGAAGAACTTTAAAGGGCCCGTATAGACAATGAATTTAGGCTACAGGTTCATATTCTTAGCAAACAATTAACTTTAAATAATAAAAAAGGGTTTCAAAATATATCTTTCATTTCCCAGCATATATATGGAAATCAAGCTGCAAAAACAGCTTTGATTTCAAACAGTTTTGATTTCTGGTTTTGTGATGTCACAATGTGTTTACATATATCCATCTATTTAGCTTACAGCGGTTTAGCTCCGCCTGTTCACCCTGAAGTTATAAGGCGAGTTTAGTTTTCCGGCTCAAAGAGAAGTTGGAAAATTGTCATGAAAAAAAGAATTATGACTGATTTTGATACATTGAACTACTTCTCCATCTCGGGGTCCACGAATGGGTCCAGACATCAATTTCTTTGTTTCTACATCTGTTTCTCTCTCTTTGTGATAAGTCAGCGCAAACATATGGTTGAAACATTTCCTGAATCTGCAGAGTCGCCCTTTCCATTCCATTTTATCATGAGATCATACATGACTCACATCTGGAGTTATGAGGCTGTGAAGAGGGGCTGAGATACAGGTGGACCTGGTGGATTCGTGTGTCCGTCTACATTCTGTGTGAAACTGACCAACGGACACTCAGGAAACCGCTAAGCACTGACCCATCATGCCGGAAACCCTTTATTCTTCATTCTGTTCACATCAGAGTCACATGTGAAATGACGTGCAGAGAGTTTACAACTGCTGAATTTGCTGAAGCAGTTTTGGAAAGTAGTGATAAAGATAACAGAGCATTTTGATATGAATCATATGAGTATCATGTTCTATGAAGAGCCTTTAAAGGAGAATTTAAGAAGATTTGCACAAATTAAGAAAATGCCCTCAGACCACAGAAGGCTAAATACAATAAGTGTTTGAAAGGTGCTGGTAGACACTCTATTCCTGTGTTGTTGATGCCTGGATGGCAGTGTGGATGTCAACATTGTGCAGTGTTCAGTTCTCTTATTGCACTCGGGTCGAAGCTGTTCTTAAGTCTGTTTGTCCATGATATGATGGACCTGTAGCGTCTGCCTGATGGTAACAGGTCAAACAGATGATGACCAGGATAAGATGGGTCTTCCAGGGTGTTAGCTGCCCTGCTGATGCAGCAGGACCTGAAGACCTCCTCCGAGGAAGGCAGCGAGCACCAGCGATTGTTGTACACTGCAAAAAAATAGTATCTTGTCAAGTGAAATTGTCTTAATTCTAGTCAATATATCTAATATTTCTTATTTTGAGATGGTTGCGCACTTATTGTAAGATTGTTTAGCTTATTTTTAGACATTTTTACTTTTCTCAAGTTAAATTATCTCACTGTACATTTCATAAAACAAATTATTAGCTAAATTATCTGCCAATATAGTGAGACTATTTTACTTAATAAAATGACTTAAAACAAGTAAAAATTAAGTTTACTTGACAAAATACTATTTTTTGCAGAATATTAAGAATATTTAAAATTTACTTAACCTCTTTCTCACCAAACGTAGACATTATAAGTCACATTTTTTTACTGCACTGGCTGACAATTATACTTCCTTTAACAAACACGATTATCTGCAGTCACTGTAGTAAATTAATTTCATTTGATAAAATTATTTAAAGGGCCCATAACCCGCATTTTTCTAACATGCACTTGGGTAGTTTATGTACCAACATGGACACAATTCATTTTTACAAGACCAATTTCCAACCTCTCTTTAACCCATTACAGCTAAAAAGGCTGTTTTTTGTTTGAGATTGATATTGTATATATATATATATATATGTATATATATATATATATGTGTGTGTGTGTGTGTGTGTGTGTGTGTGTGTGTAAATAAGATCTGTTTTGATTGGCTGTGGCTCATTCAAAATGCGGTCTAGCCTGAAACACTGCTTATAATCTCAAAGCGTGAATAAACCGGGCTTAACTGCATTAGGCTGGATAGCAGTATTTGTGTAAACGCATTCATTTTTCTGACATCACAAACACAGTGAATTCAGAATAGCCTGTTTTTGCTGCTTAATTTCCATACATGGGCTGTCTGGATTTAGATTACATTTTGAAACGAACAGTGTTTATATACTTTAAACTTTTCTATCTGGGGAAAAAAACAGAAAATTTGCTTTTCTTTGATACGAGCCCTTTCTTTGAAGCCCCCCATAAGTTATGTTCAAATGTACTTCCTCCATGACTTTGTTGTTTAGATGGTTAAAAATACCCTCGCAGGATCAAAATCTCTGTGCATT